CATGAGTTGAACCAACATCTCATGTAATATTTTTGGTCCATACTTTACCAACTCAATTGGGATGTCTCCAGGTCCTGCTGCTTTACCGTTTTTCGATATTTTGAGGGCATCGTTTAACTCTCCGATTGTTATCTCAATTATTTGTGTTCGGATATTATGTTCGGATATTTCTTCCATTTCGATCTCTTGGAATTTACATCTATCCTCTGTCAGTAAGACCTCATAATGGTGTTTCCACTGTTTCAGATCTAATAACTGCAAGTTAGATTTTTCCATTCCTTCCCTCCGGAGAGACTTTATCACCTTCCAGCTTGCCCAACTCTTGTTCCATCCATATACCTATCCACCTCTGGACATCTTCGATCCCACATCTCATTTTTACTTTTCACTACTTCTCTTTTTATGTCCATTTCTGATAAGCAGTTTTCTTCTTGTTGACTAACGTTTGCATATTCTCCGACCACCATTCTTGATTTTTTGTTTCATGTTTGTCTTTATAAGCCTCACTTGCAGCCTCATGAATGAATTTTTTAAGTTGCTGGTATAATTCTTCCGCTGATATATTTTCTCGATCCACATTTTGTAGTTTTGTGGCCAGTCGCAATTTGTAAAGAATTTCGTTGAATCTTTTTTTAAGCTTTCTAGGTTATATTTAGATGTTACTTCTTGTCCCTTTCGTATATTTTGTACCTGAGTGTTATTGTTTGTGCGATAGTTAACTATCACGTTGGCCATAACTAAACGATGGTCGGATCCACATTCTGATCCACGGTATACCCTTACGTTAGTTGTTTTCAGCTGGGAAGTTTGACGTTGGATTACATAGTCGAATATCGAGCGCAGATTCCTAGTAGGTTGTATCCATATAAATTTGTGGATGTCTCTATGTTGAAAACATCCATTCATAATTTTGAGAGACATTGTTTCACAAAAATCTCTAAGACGCATTCCGTTTTCATTGGTTATTTGTTCCCCATATCTTCCTACGACTCTGTTATTTTCTTCTCTCCCTACTCTGCCGTTTAAATCTCCTAGTATAAAGATTTCACTTCAGTTTTCATTTCAGTTTTCCTTAATTTCAGAGAGTATTTCATTCATCTTGTTGTAGAAATCTTCTTTACTTTCTGGATCTGCATCTTCATTTGCGGCATACACTCCGACAATTACGATGTTGTGCCCATTATTTTTCATTTCCAGTATTAGCAGTTCTTCATTAACTTCAGTCCACGATTTAATATTGTTTTTAAGATTTTTTCGAATGGCAATAGAGGCTCCTCTCTTAGCTCTGTTATCTTTACTCACTCCACTGTAGATATGTATATATTCTCCTATCTCTTCATTTCCCTTTCCCTTTTCTTGGTCTCGGTGAGAATACATATATAAATTTTTCTCCGCTAATTCTTTGAATACTTCTGCTTGTTTGGATCTAAGTCCTTGTACATTCCATGTAGCCAATATCATTTTCCTTTTCCGTTGCATTAGTCGTCTGTGTTTTGATCCATCCTTTGTATTCCGAGGCTTTTGGTCGAAATCTTTAGCATTTATTTGTTTTGACAAGGGATGAGTTGCTAGCCCATCGCCTCAACTCTCCTCCTTTATCCGGGCTTGGGACCGGCACCGGCATTTACTGAGCTACTCAATCCACCCAGCACTTCCGGAGGCGGAGTTAGGCGGGATATCAATATATGTTTAAGTTTTACAAGTATTCTGAGGAGAATGGCATCGTTCCATCCTGCAACAGCAAGACATAAATATATATCTGCCTATAAGTAAAATATTCAAGATGCGTGATCTTAGATGATGTTTTCAAAATAATGACAGGTTAGGATCTGCTTTATTAGTAAAAGTGGAAAACGACCTCCAAAAAAACCAAAGTGATATAGACCAATTGGCCAAGTTCCTCTCTTCCAAAGGCTCAAAAATACTAAACACATACGGACATACGTAAGAAGTGAATACTTGTCTATAGCTCTTCACGAAGAACTATTCACCAGGCAATACCACTAAGGTCTGCATTGTCTTAATAACTATGTTGAAAATACAATCTTATCAAAAGGAGTGGTATTATGTACGTTCTTAGACATAGAGGAGGCATTTGATAACATTTGAGTCTACTAACGTTGCCGCAACAGAAAAAGGTAACTACATGGTGTTCGAAAGAAGAACTTTTAATAAATCTAAATAAAACGATACTTGTCGTTTCGGAAATGCAAAAATTTTCCTTTTATCGGACCTGAGCCATTTTACAGTGTACCAAAAACCGAGTAGTACATGATATTCGAAATGTCCGAACATATTGTCCACAATTACAAGGCAATTGTTCGCCAACGCTATAAGTACCTGAAACAGGTCTTTTAGAAACTGACCAGATAACACATATTTCCCCTAAACGGATAATAGGCTTTCTTGGACGCGTAGCTCTGTTGGACTAAACATACACGTAGGTGGATGATGTACATAAGAGATCTTTCAGGTCATGGTGTGGAAATTCACCCCTTTGAAATCTACAATTTACAAAAAGGTGTAATGTAATATACACAGTATCTACTACATGGCATGGAAGCCTGGACGCTGACAATTACCTCGTTATGAATACGTATGAATAGAGTCGGTAAACTTGTAGAACTTGTTAAAAAACGGAAAACATCTTATCTTGGTCATACATTCAGACACGAGATATACAGTATAGGTAAAAGTTTATGGTCGGTATGGTAGAATTTAACAAGATATGTAACACATATATAAAATCATATTTTCAGCGAATAGACAAAGAAAACAAATATATTTCCCCTTGGTCTCCTCTCCACATTTTTTAGACACGCCTATTAATGAACGTCTTACAAATTTCCGATCCAACTTAGCTTATATGCGACAGGGTTGCCTTATTACATATTTTAATTAAAACATTGAATTAATTTAAAAATTGGCAAGCAGTGGTGCGGTTATATTGTCAGTCAAAACTTAATGATGATATTAAAAATGAAACATTAATTGACACAAATACTGATCCAAATTTCTAAAATCCATGAAAAATTTACAGATTCGTATTTTTATTTGACGAAATTGTAACCCAATTTTGAATAATATAAGAAAATTTTGGCAACATCGCCATTCGTCGAGACGGCTATGCTGTCGGCCTGTCGATAGCTATGTATTTCTTTTTGGAGGTAACGTGATTTTTCGTCCAGTTAAAATTTAATACAATACACCTGCTCCCTCATAATGATTTACTAATACTTACACTGACTGGTTGTGTTTATTTATTATGCTTTATGAAAGAACACTACCGTGATTGCGCATGACATATCACAGAACTAGTTCTGTTCTGTAGAGATGCGCGTTGAATCACCGAACTGTTTTATTTAACCGTTTATTTGTCGTTAACGAATCTACGTTTTCTCACTGGGAAGCCAACCAGTTGATGTTCTGAAGCTGAAATATTTATTGATAGTTCGTTAAAGGATTTATTTATTGTAAATATTCAATTAGGAAGCCTTTTTCTTAGTTAAAATCATTTACCTAGTACAAGCGTAATAATTGTATTTTCAAAAAATGCACATTTGTAGAAGATGCAGCTTTTATGCTCGACTTATTGAATTTTGCAATGATCTATTATTTTTAATTTGAAATATTAACACATGGAGTCTCCGATTCACGTTTTATATTATTCAGCAAATTAAATTTTTATTTGGAGTCGTGTTTTGTCTAACGTAAATGTGAATCTATTCTGTGAGTACTAAATATTTACTTTATTAACTAATTGAGTGTTTAACATGTCTGCGAGTAAATATGTTAGTATTTTATGGCATCATTTGAGAAAGACATTAACAGTGAGATGGCTGTATGCAAATTTTGCAAAGAAAAACTTAGTTATAAATCAACTACAGCAAATTAGAAAAGCCGTTGAAAGTATTTCAGTATATTTTTCTTTGATTCAAGAAAGCATGTTTGTTTATGTACTCGCTTAAATATTTTAATTAAATATTTTAATTAGTTTTTCAACTTGTTACTTGTTTACGAAAAGCAGTTCAGTTTCATTAACGATAAAAACGTCAACGACTCACCTCTACTGTTTTTCTCGTTACCACAGTCAGAGAACTACGAACATAGTTCGTAGTTCAGTGTCCTTACTTTAAAAGCTCGACGTTGCCAAATAATTTTGTTAAGAAGGTTTTCTATTGTGGTGTCATATTGCATTTTATTATTTTTATTACGAATAAGGCACAATGTGACTTTAAAATAAGCTTATTTTGACGTTTAGATTTCTAATTCGGAAATCGTACTTAAAATACGGAACATTAATAAATTTTATTTACATAAAACGATTTCCGAAGTGGATATGAAAATGTTAAATTAAACTTATTGTAAAGGAAAATTGTGACATATTTAAAAACAGTAAGCTGCCATTTAAATCAATTCGCCCAAATTTGATTATCTTAGATTTTTGACCAAAGGCTAACCTTTTATTTTTTGATATTTATAAAAATGGTTGAAATAGATGTATTTAGATAGACCTTCAAATTGTATTGATGTATTTTTAAAATCTAAACGGGTGACATTGGCTTTCATGTGTTATCAAGATCTAACAGATTAATATTAAATCTGCAAAAAGATGAGAACTTACAAAAAAACCAACAGCGTTACTTGAAGGACTTAAAAGGAGAAGAGTTTAGATACACCTACAAAATAAAAGGAAATGAGAAAACTGCAAAAATTAATTGATATAATAAAGTTGATATGAAAGGGGGTGGAAGCTGTTTAAAATAAAAAATGGAACAATTGAAATGAAAAGTAACGCTACATTATATATTTATTACTACGAGTTTTGCAACTTCTAAATATATATGTATAACTTTTGATTTATGTACATAAACTAATAGTTAATTAAACTTATCAAATCCCGTGACTAACTTTGTATCTATTAAACAAACTTTGTCAAACTATGCACATTCATTCGTTTATTAGGGGATAAAGGTAAATAACAAAAAATATATTCTTACTCTTTGGGTTTTGGCAAATTCCAAGCTAGAAGTTCAGATTGTTTTGACGACGATAGAAGTACAGTTGGTGTAATCCAACATAGGCTTATCCACATTTTTTCCATTTGAGCTTTTGGTTTATATTTAGTATGAGATTTATGGGGCAGCATTAAAAATGTTTGCAGTCTACCATCTGTACCTGCGCGCCATATGTAAATGTTACTGAAAAAAAAAATAAAATATCACATTTAAACAGCAATAATATAGTAAATATTCGATATCAAAATCATAGTATAGTGCGTTAATTTTAGGATCTGACATTGCCTATAAAAATGGCAACGTTGTTTGGCGTGTAATACTTACTGTGATGAATCCCGGTCTGAGCAGGGTTACGTATGTTTAAGTTGTTTAGTACATTGAAATGACATCGTGGTTTTAAAGGGTATATTGGCATTAAAACATTATAAATATAGTATTTATCTCGCCATCTTTTCTTTAACTGAAGTTTTTTTTCGCAAAAACAACAAAGATACGAAAGTTTATTTCTGTATATTTAACTTTAGTTTATTTCGTCCTTTAAGCGACTTCCAAAAAGGGCGCATTGTAGGACATGAAAGTGGCCGGTTTCGGTTTACGGGAATTTTCACAAAGAGTTTAAGCTAATCCATCAATGGTGTTAAGAGTTTGGAGGAGGTGGTCCAATGATGAGATTTATCGGTGTCGTGAAGGGTCTAGGATTTGGAGATGATTTAGTTGTAGCTACAGGAAGCGCAGTCTCAAGAAGAACAGTTAATCAAAGATTACTTGGAATGGGACAGAGAGTTTATCGCTTTTGGTGTTACCTTTGACACCACAGCATAAGTCTCGTCGCTTAAAATGGTGCAGAGCTGGGCAAAACTGAAACGGCCAATGGAATTTTGTCTGTTTCAGTGATGAATCTAAGTGTTGTTTTGGTGGCTCTGATGGGTACATAAGGACATAAGGATAAGACGTTTTCGAAGTGATAGACGAAATATAGACTTAACTGTTAAACGTCATCAGCAAGACAACCAAGCATCATGGCGTGGGTGCTATACGTTTGGGAAGCAGATCACCTCTCGTTCTTATTAACAGGCACTCTGACAACTCGACGAGATATTTTTGAAGTACTGCAACCAGTTTTACATCCCTACCTATAAACCAGTCCTAATATGATCTTTCAAGAGTATAACGCAATACCTCATATTGCCCGTGAAACCATGGAGTTCATACAAGAATCTGGCATAGAGACTTTGGAGAGGCTATCAAGATCAGCTGAATTGTCACCCATCGAATATGTATGGGATATGATACGTCGAAACCTAGAGTGCCACGTCCTCCAGCAAACTTAGAAGACCTGCGGCATGCCATAAGAAGAATCTGAATGAGTATTCCGCCATATGATATAGACCACTTAATTCGATAAATGTCCCAAACAGTAACTGAGTGTATAGAAAATCAAGGGGGAGCCACTTATTATAAATTTTTTGACGAAAATGACGAAAATGAATTTTGCAAATGTGTTTATAATGTTATCAAATAAGAATATTATAATGTATACTTCCATAAATAAATAATTAAGAAAATATTTGTCCTTCTAGGTGTTGCATATTTTTGGCCATCAGTATATTAAGACAAATATATTTTTAATGTACATTATGTCAAAAGTGTTAACTGATGGAATAAAATTTCCTTGCGTGTCTTAAGGGTGGTTAATTAACCGCTTCCTATCTTTAAATTTAAAAAAAAAACAAAGAAATTTTTTATTCATTTTAAATGTATCTCGATGCCCTTATGTATAGAATAAACATGTTCAATCTGGTTTATTCGCATAAGAACTTGCATGCGACTGAATAAAACCCCAAAGAAAGAGGCTAGCGGGGTCAAATCGAGTGATCTCGGTGGTCAGTATCACCTCCATGTGATATGGCTATGTCCCCAAATCGCTCGTGCAGTGTCCAGTGTGACATGAGCTATTGAAACCACATGTCGTTGGTGTCGCATGTAATATCATGCAATTCAGGCCAAAATAAGTTGGAAATCATCGACCTCAACATGGTTCTCAAAGAAATATGGACTGATGTTGCCAGCCCAAAATTCACACCAAACAGTGACTTCTTCGGAATGCATTGGACGCTCTTAGATCTAATCTGTATTAGTATCGTCCCAAATTTGATAAGTCTCTTCGTTGTCGTAATTCAGCGAAAACTGGGGCTCATCGCTGAATATGAGTGTTCGATGAAAATAACAGTAATTTTTCAACTGCTGCAGAGCCTATTCAGCGAACATACGTCGTTGTCTATGATCGTTCACCTCCAGCTCCTGGGCCAGTTGAATTTTGTACCAGTGCAGGCCAAGTCACATGCAAAAATCCCTAAGTTGTGATCTGTGCAAGGCCGAGTTCTTGTGAGCGATGTGAAATCGACGCTTTGAATTCTCCTGCACTCTCGCGGTCAGCGGCGATGTTTTCGGAAAAAAATTCTTTTTATTAGCGTACGGGTGTTCGTTTATTATATACTAAACTAGTGAAGTCAAATTTATCTATACTGCGAATACTCCTCAAGGTAGGACGATAGTGGCAACCCTAAAATGGATAAAGCGGGCGAAACGGTAGTTTACTGGCCGCAGTGACCACTTAGTTTCTTTGGTTGATTCTGCGTGTTTGTACTGTACACAGTTGGCTATGTGCGAGTATTCAGTGTTAAATTTCTTTTTATTTACTCAGTAAAGTTTGGAATCGTTATAGTCTAAATTGAAGTGAACATGGGTAGAAAGAAACTCACACAGCAGGAGAAAGTTCGTGCTTTAACGTTACTTAAGAAAGGGGACTGTGTAGTTACCATAGCACGTGATAACGGTGTTTCAAGAGAGGCAATTTATGAATTGAAACGGTCGGCTGCTGTTCCGGAAGGAAAACCTGGTTCTGGAGCTACTAAAAAAACATCATCTAGGCGCACCATCATCAGGCGTGAATTAATGTTGAACCCTTAACTCCCACAGACCTCAAAAATAAACATCCTGATCTCCTTCAAAACGTTTCAACAAAAACGATTCGTCACCGGCTTTAGAAAGATCTAGCATTACCAAGCCGACGTGCTGCAAAGAAGCCCTTATGAAGAAAAAAAGATTAGATTTTTGTATAAGGTATAACAGCAATGGACACCCGAACAATGGAAAAAAGTCATGTTCAGAGACGAAAGTACGTTCAGGTTAGCTCCAAATTAGTTCGTCGTCTAAACACCGCGTCAAGGTACGATATAAAGTTCACAGTTAAAATCGTCAAAAATTCTGAAAGTGTAATGGCATGAGGTGCGTTTAGGGGTAAGGGATAAAGGAAGGGTAGGGTTGTATTTCTTGTCAAAGAATGTTACAATGAGGGCAAGCAACTATGTGACTATTCTAGAACAACATTTATTGAACTTGTGGGAAATTCACGAATGTGACTTCTTTATGCACTATAGTGCCCCTGCTCACAAGGCCATGACAGTGTCAAAGTTCTTGAATGATCACAATATCAACGTATTGGAATGGCCAGGTAACTCGCAAGACCTTAATTCCACCGAGAACGCCTGGAATATTCTGAAAATTAAGGTTTAGGAGTGTCGACCGAGCAATATAAATCAGCTGAAAGAGAAGTTGAAGAGGTTGTTGGTGACCATGGAAGAAGAATATTTCTTGCACATTGCTCAATCCATGCCCAAGAGAATCCAGCTTGTCATCGACTACAAGTGTGATACAAGGGTATTAATTGGTAAAATTAAAATAACAATTATCCTGATTTATGTGTTTTATTCATTGTGTAAAGTTTTTTTTGTCGGCACTGTATATGGCTGCACAATAATATGGCCGCTATTAACTTACAAAGTTCGGAAGTCCCTATTGGAAACCCGTTATTTGTGCAATAGTTTTTTCACCGCGATGTTTTTCAGCGTATGACACAGATATTCAACACAATGGCGAAGAACTACAGCATAAAGATACCAACAGCTAAGACCAAATCTCTGGTTGTGACAAGGGAACGCAGAAGATGCAAAATAGTAATTAAGGATGAAATAATTGAAGTCTCGGAATTCGAATATCTCGCTATGGAGATCTTAAAGAAAGCAACCGAAAGCTGGCAGAGGCTTATGCGTCAGGATACCTGAGGGGTGTAACCTAGAGAAATAAACATATGAGGCTCGAAGGGAAAGTACACACATATATATATATATATATATATATATATATATATATATATATATATATATATATATATATATATATATATATATATATATATATATGTGAAAGCGTGTTTTATGTTCGTTTATCCTTGCGTTTGTGTGTCTTTTCGTGTTTTAACTCCAGCCGAAACATCATTGCTATACTACGTTCCACGTTTAGAAAATAACATTGCGAAGATAGGGCCATGTATTTCTTATGGACGATAGCAACGCGGCGTTGCCACGACACACACAAGCACAATTTAGGGTTGTATAATTTGTATTTTCGTTTCCACAAACATGAATTAAATTAATGTTTTTTAACGTAATTGACCAAAAGTGCCCATTCGAAACACGAGATGAAAAGTAGGGAAAATGATTTTAATTAGATAAATAGTATTTACAAAAGATAATTTTATTTTATCTTATTTTAATTATAGTAACGACAGTTTATTTGTTTTTCGGTGAGAATACGATATGCCATGAATCATATAAATCAGTAGAAAATATTGACCGCTTGGAATGCGTATATCTAATTACTAATTGCAACTTAAAATAATACGATGTGCGTATGTCAGCTATTTTATGTCGTCTCTGACTACATAATGATAATAAGGCTTTTATTTAGTAGTTATTCTGACTTTACAGTTAAATATTAATTGAAAATGAAAATTCAAAAATTAAGCAAAGGGAATATCTTGGACATCCGTGTAAAAGAGAGTGTCTGAGAGTTTTGGCAACACTGATCTCCATAAGCGTAATGTTATTTTCTTAACGTGAAACAAAGAATAGCCAGAAGGGAAAATTTTGCGATTGCACCTAAATACCCAAAGAAGATATCATCGCTAATATCGAGTCTGCGTTTCGCAACTTACCAATCGAAAAGGCTGAAGAAATAAGGACAGAATCAGCGAGAATTTTGCATAAAGCTAAAACACCGAAAAATGACATGACCCACCAAGAAATCCGTGCCATAAAATCGTTAAACGCAGACAAAGATGT